CCGCGTCGTGTACTCGTCGAATCGATTCCGCCCGAATTTCGTATATAAAAGAGAAAGGAGAGCCGAGAATTTCGAACCCCGCGATATATCGTCTCCATTACCACCAACGAGTGTGTGTGCGGTTAGCGCCCCGGCGATTTGCCTTCTCGCGTATTTCGTGTGCTGCCGCTGCTGCTCTCTCGTCGACGCTCTCTCTCTCTCCCTCTTATATATTATAGAAGAGAGACGACGATGAGCGACGCGGAGGAGGCAAACGGCTACGAAAACTCACTATGCGACGACCTCAGAGCAGGCGAGATTACCCGCTGAATTTAAGCATATTATTAAGCGGAGGAAAAGAAACTGACCAGGATTTCCTTAGTAGCGGCGAGCGAACAGGAAAGAGCCCAGCACCGAATCCCGCGGTTCCGCCGCAGGGAAATGTGGTGTTCGAAAGGATCCGCTTATCCCGAGGTGCCGCGTCGCGTTTACCCGTAGAGGGTGCCAGGCTGAGAATCGGGTTGCTTGAGAGTGAGCTCTGGTAAACTCGGCTAAATACGACCACGAGACCGGCGAACAAGTACCGTGAGGGAAAGTTGAAAAGAACTTTGAAAAGAGAGTTCAAGAGTACGTGAAACCGTTCAGGGGTAAACCTAAGAAACCCAAAAGATCGGGGGAAATTCATCGTCAGCGGCGCTGGCTTCGCGTCGGTCGGCGATGTCCCGCGGAGTCCGTGCAAATCGATCGTCGAGGGGCGAAAGACTAATTGAACCATCTAGTAGCTGGTTTCCTCCGATTAGGAACTGGCACTCGGCCGTTCCGCACGGAACGCGCGCGAGTCTCATCTGGTAAAGCGAATGATTAGAGGCCTTGGCCAAAACGACCTCAACCTATTCTCAAACTTTAAATGGGTGAGATCTCTGGCTTTCTTGAATTATGAAGCCACGAGCATCTTCGAATCAGAGTGCCAAGTGGGCCATTTTTGGTAAGCAGAACTGGCGTGGTGGGATGAACCAAACGCAGAGTTAAGGCGCCATGAAAGGCGTTGGTTGCTGACATTGGAATCGTCCGCGGAGTGTGAATTTAAGCAGCATTAAGTAGCGGGCGTTTCGACGAGAGAAGCTTGCGGAGCCGAGGTGGTAGTAGCTTACTCCAGCGAGTGGAGGACCGTGGAGAAGGGTTTCGAACACCGTTGCAGAAGTCTAGGCCTTAGTAGCGGCGGCCGGAATCAGTCGAAACCCGTCGTCCCACCCGAAATCCCGCGGTTCCGGTCTACCGGATTGAAGCGGAACATGTCCGGTTCGTTCCCGTAAAGGAAGGCCGATGAGTATCGGATGGGCGACCGGTGCCGCAGTCCAACGGCGGTGGCCGCGGACCTTAAGGCCGGGGGGCCACCCTATATCTAGGCCTCGTGTATGAAGTGCCGGTCGCTGCCCCGCGCGCGCACCCTCGGCGTGGGCAACTCCGGGCCAGTCTTGGCTCTCCAATTCGAAGTCAGGTCTGTGGCACGCACCCTTCCACCAAGCCACGACGTAAGCCTGGGTGGAATTCCGGGTGATCGGCCACTCGGCTACACTAACGCCAATTCCGGGAGCGGGACATCACGGGAAGACCGTCAGCGAACATGATCGGGCTAATCGAGAAAGCGACGAAATCGAAGCCCTTTGAAAGAGAAGCACTCAAGAGGCTACGTCGTACGCGAAACCCGCTTCCTTCGCCGATGTAAACGAAGAAATGGGCCAAAAGGACAGGCGAGGACAGCGAAATTTCATTTCGTCAGCGCGCGCTGAAATTCGCGAGAATCGGCGGTCCATGCGCGAAATTGTGCCCAGCGAATGGCTCGCGTGCAAATAACGAGGTCCGTCGTTGGGTTATCCTGTCAAGGGGCGGCGAAAGACTAATTAGAACCACAACTCGTCCAAGTAACTGTTTCCTCGGGTCCTAACGAGTTTGGCCGGTCTTCAGTCCGAATGGCACCGGACTTATCAGGGCAGTTTGCCGGCGCACTTCGCTGCGTAGGTCCAACGTCAATCGCCTCGGCTTAAAGCGAATGATTGGAGGCCTTGGCGGAATCTTTCCAAAAAGGTCTCAGCACCTATTCTCGAAACTTTAATCATGGGCCGGATTACGAGTCTTTTAGCCGCTTTGTCTTGAATTCGATTTAGCCACGAGTTCATACTTGTCACGAAATCTTTGGTTGTTTCCACAGTCTGGGCCAGCTCGACGCCTAATTTCGCCCAGAGGTGATTGTGGCGTTGGTTGGGAGTACGGAACCGGTACGAAACGACAGGTCTCGGCAATGTTAAGGGCTGCCCAACTCGACGCGGGCCGTTTCAGCGTGGAGATTTCAGTCGAAACAAATCCGTCTGGATTGCTCTAAGGGAGCTGGAACGGTCTCCGGCCATGGAGTCAGTGAGGACGGCCAATTCGAGCAGAATAAGTGAGGCGTGTGTAAGCAACATTCACCTAAATAAAAGATCTGAGCCGTTGCAAAATGTTTTCGCTGTTCCACCTCGGTCAGGACCTATAAGGACTCTTTAGGGCCAAGGCAGCTGGCGGACAGCTTGGCGAAAGTCGGGAATCGCGCGGCAGGGCGTCTCCCCGTATTCGCGCGTCGGTCAGGGCACAGCTGTACGCTCGACCGAAGTATTTTCGGAATGTCCTGCGGTTCAACGAATTTCGAATAGTGGGCTAGGAGTTCGAGCTTTTGCCTGGAGTCGCGGACGTCGAAAGTTCCTTGTGATTCAAGGCATCTTGGTGGATTTAGCGGATAGGCTTAAGCGATCGCTCCACTGTGCAGGTCCCTGTTCGATGGGTTCACCTGACGTCGGAGAAGGAAGTTTCGTGTTTATTCAAAAGAAACAAGTAAACGTTGCATAAAGCGAGAAAATTGACTTCGGTATCCAAAAGCCCTAGGAGAAATTAACTATCGTCAAATAAGAGGCGCGATGCCTGTAGCAATATACCCGGTCGAGATGGTCGGAGGCGTAAATAATAATACGAGATCATGTATAGCAGGAAGAGACAAACCGGGAAACGGCGTAACCGTTGCCCGGCGCAAAGAGGGAATCCGAGTTCCTGTTCCGAGAAACCCGTTGCAGCAGGAAGAGACCGCATACAATTCGCGTGCCCTTTGTAAGGAGTGTTCCCGTACTAAAGGGGTAAAATAAAACGACCCGTTGGAGGACCGCCGGTCGGGAGATATACCGGGAACCTCGAGGCGAACTCGTTTCTGTTGTAGTAACCCGCATTATGAGTTTCCCTGGATAGCCTCAAGTGGCCTGATCTTAGCACGGTTACAAGGAGATAGGGTTTGGAACGGAAACCTCTAGAAGAGCAACGCGAGCAGTTGCGGCGGTGTCCGGATCTTCCCCTCGGACCTTGAAAATCCAGGAGAGGGCCACGTGGAGGTGTCGCGCCGGTTCGTACCCATATCCGCAGCAGGTCTCCAAGGTAAAGAGCCTCTAGTCGATAGAATAATGTAGGTAAGGGTAGTCGGCAAATTGGATTCGTAACTTCGGAATAAGGATTGGCTCTGAGAAGCGGGGCTGACGTGCCGGGCCTGGGCGAGGTGAACGGTCGGCGTTCTCGCGCCGGTCCCGGGATCCGAGCTCGGTCCCGTGCCTTGGCCTCCCGCGGATCTTCCTTGCTGCGAGGCTTCCGTGGCGGCGCAAGCCGTCGTGGTCGTCCTCTTCGGCCGCCATTCAACGCTCAGCTCAGAACTGGCACGGACTAGAGGAATCCAACTGTCTAATTAAAACAAAGCATTGCGATGGCCCTCGCGGGTGTTGACGCAATGTGATTTCTGCCCAGTGCTCTGAATGTTAACGTGAAGAAATTCAAGCAAGCGCGGGTAAACGGCGGGAGTAACTATGACTCTCTTAAGGGAGCCGCCGATTTTGGTGGTTTCCATGCGCCAACCCCACCTCCTCGCGGTGAGAGTCGGGCAACGTCGGAACCAACCTCCCGGCGGCCAACGGGGCTCTGGCTTGGCGGAGCGGCAACGCTCCGTCCGGGTCCGTGGGGTTGCCAGCCCTTCGGGTCTGTTTACGGCAGGCACCACAAGAAGAGAAAAATATAATCTCCGGCGGCAGCCTCGGGCCGCCGGTCCTGTCGTCCCTTCGCCACCCTCTCCTGACCCCTCTCCAGGCTCTTCTCGTCGGCCGCCCGCTAGGCCACGACGCCGCCCAACACCCGCTGCCCCTGTCCCTGCTACCCCGCAAGCCCCGCAATTCCCATGCCCACACTGTGATCGTGCGTTCACCACGAAGACCGGACTCGGCCTCCATCGCCGATGTGCACACGAGGCCATCGTCAACGAGGAGGTTAACGTCGAGAGGGTTAACCGCCAATGGAGCGACGAAGAGAAGCGCATGATGACGAGGGAGGAGGCGCTTGCCGCGAATCGAGGCGTTAGGTTTATGAATCAACATCTGTTAACCGTCGTTCCGATTATGATCGATTATAATCGCCCGTTATGAAACATGAAAGCGTAGGCGAGTTAAAGAGATTGCGAGACACGGTGGCTGCATCGCTGGCCGCGCTGACGAATTTGAGTCGACCGGTTGCTCAGTGAGACGATATGCTTGTTTATTGCGTCTCACAAAAATTCTGTCAAAAAACGCGAAGCGAGTGGAACTTGAAGTGTTCCTCTATAACTTCAATTCCGGCGTACAAAGATATTCATGAATTTCTTACGACTCGAATCCGCGGATTGTCAGACTTCGCGGAAGTTTCAAGAGAAAGTGTTAATCAAAAGCCAAACAAGCCGCGTTCGTCAATGCATAACGTCTCCGCTGTCAAGTGCATATGCTGCTCAGGCAATCATTTCGTGATAAAGTGCGAGCCGTTTCGTCAAAAATCAGTTGAACAACAAAATGAGCTCGCTCGCAAAAATCGTGTATGCTTTAATTGCTTGCGCTCGGGGCATATTTCGCCGAATTGCCCGAGCCAACAGCGATGCAACCACTGCAGTCGGTCTCATCATTCTTTATTGCATTCCGAAAATTATCAATCGTCAGCTGTCAGAAAAGATTCGGAAGCTGCGAAACCAAGCGTGAAAACGAATGCGAAGTCCGACGCCTTGGACGGTTCCAATAACGCTGCCGTGACCAGCGTCCAGACAATCGAGCCGCCGGACTTTACGACTCCCGCGGTTCTCCTCGCAACCGCGTGGGTGAACATCCACACCGCTGAGGGCCGACGCTTTAAGGTTCGCGCGCTATTGGATCAGGGATCCAATTTTAGTTTTATATCGGAATCTTTCTGTCAAACCATACGGACCAGGCGACAAAGAACCGATTTACAAATCAAAGGATTCGGGGAAACCTACACGGGTGCCGCAAAGTCGCGCGTGTCCTTGCGAATGACTCCGTGCGCGAAATCCGACCCGGTATTTCCAATCACAGTGTACGTGTTTCCGAAGATCACGTCGTACGCGGCTTCGCGAGTTCGACCTGTCGAATCGTGGCCTCACTTGAAGGGCCTTTCCCTCGCGGATCCGGATCCGTCGAGCAAACATCAAATTCACTTGCTTCTTGGAGCCGACGTTTATGGCTCACTTTTGATGCGCGACTTGAGGCAAGGTCCGCTCGGTACCCCCACAGCTCAACTAACCGCGCTCGGTTGGATTATTTCCGGTCCGACCAAAAATAAACGGAAGGCTTCAAAAGAAGCCGTTTTAAATTGCGTTCTCGGTCAAGAGATAGACACTCTTCTCCAGCGGTTCTGGGAAGATGAGGAGATCGCGCCTCAAATTCCCCTCACGGAGGAGGAAGAGATTTGTGAGCGACACTTCGTGCAGACGCATAGTCGGTTGTCCGACGGACGATACGTCGTTCGACTACCCTTTAAATGTGATCCTCCGATCGAAATCGGAGAGTCTCTTTCCATTGCGCGGTCGCTGTACAACCGCATGGAAAACAGATTGAGAAATCGATCGGAACTGTATTCGCAGTATAACGAATTTCTAGCGGAATACGAGTCCCTCGGACATATGACTAGCGTCGACGAGTCGGAAAAAACCGAGTATTTGCCCGTTTACATTCCGCACCACCCCGTGATTCGGGAAGATAGTTGCACGACTAAATTACGGGTCGTTTTCAACGCGTCGTGCCGAACTAGGAATGGCACGTCGTTGAATGACTTTTTATTAATAGGGCCCAAATTACAGCAAGATCTACCTGCCGTGTTATCGCGATGGCGACGGTGGAGCTTCGTTTGTACGGCCGACATCGCCAAGATGTTTCGGCAAATTCAAATTCATGAGCAAGATTCAGACTACCAAAGAATTCTTTGGCGTCCTCAAGCGGAAGCGCCCGTTCGACATTTTCGCTTGTTAACGGTCACTTACGGTCTCGCTCCCGCTCCGTATCTCGCAATGCGAGTATTGAAACAGCTCGCCCTTGACGAGGGAGAAAAGTTCAAGGCCGCGGTTCCTATCCTAGGAGAGTCTATTTATGTAGACGACGCCCTGTTTGGCGCGGATGATATAAAATCTTTAAAAAATACTCGCGTTCAATTGATGCAGTTAATGGAAAAGGGGGGATTTCAATTAAGGAAATGGGCATCAAATTCGATCGAACTTCTCAAGGATTTGTCTGTTGACCAATCGGAAGTAACCGATCATCTAATCCTGACGGAAGATTCACTTAAAGTTCTCGGCCTGTCATGGATGCCTAACGAAGACGTGTTTCGCTTGAGAGATCGTGTCTAATTGCGCGATCAACAGATCTTTTGCTGTCGACATTTTTTTTTTTTTTTAGCAACGTCAGTAGTACAGACGGAAAGATTCGCGGACGCTTCCTCTATCGAACGCGACGCGTATGTCTCAAGTTTGACTTGAGACCATTGATTATGTCAGGCGCGTGAACGGCGCGGACGGCAAGAGTTCGCGGACGACCTTGTTGTTGAAACGCGACGAATTTGTCTCAAAAGAGACCACTGAGTATGTCGGGCGCGTGAACGGCGCCGACGGCACGAGTTCGCGAACGAACTGACTGTCGAACGCAACGAATTTGTCTCAAAAGAGACCACTGAGTATGTCGGGCGCGTGAACGGCGCCGACGGCACGAGTTCGCGAACGACCTGACTGTCGAACGCGACGAATTTGTCTCGAAAGAGACCACTAAGTATTCGTCTCACGAGTCGAATTGCGGTTGTGACGACGTGAGATCGGAGTCTACCCGTACACTTGTTTCTCTAAAGCGAACTCGACACTTGGTTCCTGTCTCTTCTTTTGCACACTCGTTTGTAAGACGATGTGCTTCTATTGTCCACCCGCGCTTTTTCACTGTCCGCGAGAGTCACACGAGAATCACTTTCTCCGTTTTACCTTATCGTCCTCGTTATCTTCACAATCCGGCTCGAAGGACCATTTTACTTCTGTGCGAGAACCTTCGATTTGTTTTAATTTTCCGCGCAGAGGCAAATTTATTTATTTATAAGTCGGCTCGTAGATACGAAGGAGACTGGATGCGGAGAAAATTGTAAAGGTGGAGAAATTCACTTTTGAGGCAAAGCAGTTTTATTCAAAACTCTCGCAGACAAGATTAAAACGCGGAAGTTCGCTCTAGAACGAGATAAATTCGCGCGATGCTCTTTTCGCTGATATACACGGAGACGTCTCTTCAGTTCAGACTCCTCGAGTAGACTCATTTTTGATCCTCGCGGAATTCGGCAGCTAAGGCTCATCCGATCGACGCGTGGCACACGTGCTGAAATCCTATTCGTGGACGATTGCCCCATCACGCTCCGAAACGCGAGACAAAGGCGAGTTTTTGTAGATTCCTCGCTCGCGGAATCGAAAACAACCGGAATAACATCTCGGCGTCGAATATTTTCAATTTCTACGATTGACCTTGCTTCGTCGCTCCGAAAATACGTGACAATTTTAAACACAAGTTGACGCGCAATTAGCTGCGTTCTTCATCGACCTACGAGCCAAGTGATTCACCGTTCAGGGTAATCGTTCGAAATTTTTGCGTTCGCGAAGAAACGCGCTTCTCGTTCAACCATCGTGGTCTCTTCTCTCGGACGAGAGAGAGAAAGAATAATCGTGGTGGCTCTTCGATCAGGCTGTCCGAGGACGCGCGCGGACCGCCGCCTCCCGCCAGGGAAGGCTACGGCACAAAGGTAGAGTTGTGTGTTTCTCGATCGGAGCGTCTCTCCCGCAACGGGAGAGCCGGGGCGGAAGCTTTTTGAAGAAACCGTCGGACCGACACAGTTGACAGATAGTCGAAATATCATCGATCCTTCCTGTATTATACAGGGTGATTCAAAACAACCGTTTGTCTTTAAAATGTCGTATTCCTGACTCAATTTAAAGACGATTTTTCCTTTGCCAAAATTTTATCCGAAGCTTAGTTTTTGAAATATAAAAAGAAATAGTTAGCGAATTACAGCACGAGTACGGGCGGTAATCAGGAGCGGCGCACCACATTATCCGACGCGGGCGATTACGTGGGCGCTCGAAGCGATCAGCTGTTTGTTACACGCGGCGTTTTGTGTGTGTGTGTGTGTGTGCGCGTGTGTGTGTACGCGTATACACACACACACACACACTCTCTCTCTCTCTCTCTCACTGATTCTTACCTTGTAGAGATGTTTGATGTCCTTTGACGAATAATTGTTGCCTGACTGGATACAATCCGATATTGACACACTGTGACACACTGCATGATGAAATCATTTTTTTGTAATAAATTCTATTGACACTTTGACTCACGCACTTGATTAAAAATTATTGTAATAAATAACTGATTACAAATTACAACACATAATCACAATCTGAGAGAATTTTCTCTTAGAATTTGCCCTGAAAATTGTGGTAATCGTAGGATAATATTGTATGGAAAAAATTTTATTAGAATTCCTCTAATTAATATTTATCACATTCAAAATAATAATATCTATCACAATAAAATATGAAACATGTTTTATTAATTTTACTAAACCGTAAAGTAAAATTAATGAAATATATTTTATATTTTATTGTGATTGTTTTTCCTTTTATTTAATTTTAATAACAGTAATTTTATTGTATCATATCAGATTTGTACACTGTATCTGGTTCCGACGCTTCGGACCCTTTTGATAGACTATTGAATACGTGATTGAGGTTCGATTGTCGTTCTTCAAGAACAAAGAAAGACAGGATATCGCGGATCCGTTACAAGCATACCGCTATTATTATAGGATGTTGCTCGTCATAGCTGAGCGCGGAATTCGTCAACCGCCCGCCAAGACGGAGTAAAGAGTCCTCTCCTAGAAAAGGACTCAATTTGCTCAACGAGCTCGAATGCGGCATGGTGCCGTTATTCTTTAGTGAGCGCGTTTCCCGCTCGAAGAATCTCTGTTGCAGATAGCGCAACCAGAAGATTTCCGCCCTCCTAAACTCATCGGCGTTCAGAAGGGGGAAGAGTTGGGAGCGAGACGCGCTCTTTTCTTTTACACGAAGAATAAAGCGATTCATATAGGCAGTCACGCGGACAAGCTTGGTCCAAGTGGAGAACCTATATGGGAGTTCCCATTCCTCGGCCTCTTAAACATGGAACGTCACAGGCCGTCTTCTTTCCACCGACACTTGCTGATCGGTGGCAGTGTCGAGCGGAGCTGAGACATTCAGAATCGGCCACGCAGTCGATGGCTTCTGAAGCCATCGTGGACCGTTCCACCATAGCGGGTGAGTCACGAGCTCGGAGGCGGTCAAGCCGCGCAAGGCACAGTCCGCCGGATTATCTCGAGACGGAACGTGATTCCAACAAACAGAATCCAGACAGGTATGCACTTCGGATACGCGGTTAGCCACGTAGGTGCTCCATTTTGATGGATGTTGACGGAGCCACGCGAGAGCGATGGTCGAATCCGTCCATCCGTATATTGGAATCGGAGGTAATTTCAACGATGTCAAGGTCCACTTGATTAGCCGGCTGAGGAGGACGATAGCGTTCAGTTCCAAGCGCGGGATGCTTACGGTTTTGATCGGCGCGACCTTTGTTTTAGCAGCGAGCAGAGTGATTTGAAACTTCGTTGGCGAAGGAAGCACTCGAATATAAACGACCGCCGCGTAAGCGCGGTTTGAAGCGTCGGCAAACTCGTGGATTTTGAACGCGAGGTTATTGGAATGTCGACCGGTCCAACGCGGTATTCGGACGCGGTTTAATGATTCTAAATCGTTGGTGTAGCTCTCCCAACGATCGCGCAACTACTCTGGAAGAGGGGAGTCCCAATCACATTTGAGAAGCCATAACTCTTGTAGCAAGATTTTCGCGGTTACAACAACCGGAGCAGCCCATCCTATTGGGTCGTATAATTTTGCCGTGAACGAGAGAACGGAACGTTTCGTGTGCGTAACCGATCTCAACGGAGTTATCACGAATTTGAACGCGTCCTCTTTAGCAAGCCATGAAAGCCCGAGAATCTTCTTTTACGAGTAAGTGATCGGTGACTTCCGGCTGATGAGCCGAAAGTCCTTGAAGAAGAGAGGAGGCATTAGAAACCCACTTTCGTAGTTGAAAACCTCCCTTTTGCAGGATTTCAACTAGTTGGACACGAGCTTCTATCAATGAAGTCGTATCGTCCGCGCCAAAGAGCGCATCGTCCACGTAGAGGGACTCGCTGAGAATTGAAACAGCCGCGGGATAGTTGTCACCTTTATCTAGAGAAAGCTGTTTCAGTACCCTTATTGCGAGGTACGGAGCGGAGGCGAGCCCGTACGTTACAGTGAGAAGGCGATAGTGTTCAATCGGCCCATCGGCCGACGATCGCCATAAGATTCTTTGAAAATCCGCGTCAGACGGATGCACGAGAATTTAGCGGAATATTTGAGCAATGTCCGCCGTGTAAACAAATTGCCATTGACGCCAGCGCAATAATATAGCGGAGAGGTCTTGCTGCAGTCTCTGACCGATCAGTAAGTGATCGTTAAGCGAAGTCTTATTGCTCGTTTTGCACGAAGCGTTGAAGACAACGCGCAATTTCGTAGTGCAACTCGAGTCGCGCAAAACGGGATGATGAGGAATATATACCGGCTCGAACTCGGAGCGGTCAGATAATTCCACCTTCCTTATATGACCGAGCGAATTATACTCTCGTAAGAACTCGTTGTACTGCGCGTGAAGTTCAGGACGAAGCCGTAGCTTTCCTTCCATTTTATTATAAAGCGAGGTTGCAATGTGCAAAGAATCACCGATTTTTATCGGGAAATCATGCCTGAAGGGCAATCGAACCGCATAGCGTCCCTGAGGGGTACGATAGTGGTTGGCGATGAAATGAGCCTCGCACCTCTCCTCCTTCTCCGTGAGAGGGACAGGCCGCGAGATCTCCTCATCTTCCCAGAACT